GGGATTACAGGCACGCGCCACCATGCCCAGCTAATTTTTTTGTATTTTTAGTAGAGACGGGGTTTCACCGTGTTGACCAGGATGGTCTTGATCTCTTGACCTCGTGATCCACCCGTGACCGCCTCCCAAAGTGCTGGGATTACAGGTGTGAGCCACCACACCTGGCATATCTACTTTTTTTTAAAGCAAATCTTTCTCTTTCAACTAACCTTGTCCATTCTGTCTCTTTCTACTCCAAACCGACCTCCATAGCCATGGGATGCTTTGGGTCCCGACTCCATCTCTTTCTTCTTGAGAACATCATGCTCCTCTGATACTTTGTTCCTCAGCTGGTGGATGCTGGAAGAAAGCACATGACCAAGGCTCATGTATCCCAGGGAGGTCAACAAATCCATCCTCCCAGAAAAATGGAAGTCTTGAAATCTGTTCTGTTTATTTTTAGTAATAAGCTGAGCCCCCAAAATATACTAGTAATGGGTCTACAAGTAAGAGATCAGTCTGGCATGTATACCGTAGCCTGATCTAAACTCTCTATAGACCAATAATATTTCCTCTAGTCTGTTATTTTGCTCAGTAAAATAATCTTCCAATCTTCAGTCACATTTTTCATGTTTTTAAATATTAGAGGACAATAATACCTATATTCTGATAACTGGAAAGTTTTTTTCTTTTCTGAATTGATCTGCTTTCTATCAATTAGATGATCTGTCTCAAAAAGCAGAAAAATATTCACATACCATTGGACCTACACATTCTAGTCCTAGGAATCTACACCAGGGAAATGACTTTAAATATGGCAAAGCTTAATGTCTAATGATGCTCACCGAAGCACTGCATATAATAGCAATAACTAAGAAACAATCTATATGCCCAATGGTTAGGTAATAGTTAAATAAATTGAAATATTACCCTTCATTAGCATACTAGAATATCATTAAAAATAATGCTTATAAAAACACAGCATTGGGAAAATTCACTTATACATTAGTAGTATTTTTTATACTTTTTGGTCATGAATTAAGATCTTCTGCCCTCTCTCCACAGGCTGATAATTCCTGAGAAAACTAATAACTAATGAAAACTAACAAAATCCACTCACAATAATTGCTATAACACTTTAAGGCTCAAATGATTCTGATTTGATGGGACACCTCTATCCCTAAGAGAAAGTAACACCAAAAAAGTAATTCTTACTTCTCACCCACTTCCATCTTTACCATGAAGGTGACTGCAACACTTAAGAGGGTGGAGAGCCATCTCAGCCAACCTCTTTGGCTTGAATATATGAAGTGATAGCTCAGCAACAAGTGGCAATCAGATCTGTTGTTACTTGAACATATATAAGGATCCAGAGATTCTTGGAAACGTTTGGGCAAGAGAACACTAAATAAGAAATTTGACTTTCTGCAGCAAGCAATGGGGGTTTAGGTGTTGAGATAGTGAGGTTACTGGGACTTCACCAGCTCAGGACAACCAGACACATTGATTTTATATAGAATGGTTGTCTTATAGCAGAAATTGTCTTCTTTTATGGAAGAATAGATCCATCTGGTGGCCTTTAGTGGATAATTCCATTAAAGGTCTTGTAAAAAGTCTTCTCGGCCAGGCATGGTGGTTGACGCCTATAATCCCAGCACTTTGGGAGGCTGAGGTGGGTGGCTCATGAAGTCAAAAGATCGAGACCATCCTGGCCAACATGGTGAAACCCTGTCTCTACTAAAAAGACAAACAATTAGCTGGGCGTGGTGGTGCGCGCCTGTAGTCCTAGCTACTCGGTAGGCTGAGGCAGGAGAAT